AACCATTAAACACGATTGACTACAGGATTAGCTAGGACACATCTTTGTGAAACATGAAACAAACATGTTGTAGTTACTCAAATGATCATTATGGTAGTAAGTAGTAGATGCTAAAGATAAAAAGACATAGACTATAGGCATAAATTAAACAACTTAAGGGCCATGGATGATAGACACATTTTAAGTTTGACTAAGTTTATAGAAAATAATATCAATATTAATGTCTTCAAATTGGTTTACAATAAAATATATTTTATGATTAATCTGATGCTACTTATTTGATATGATAAATATTAGTACTTTTGTATAGATTTAGTCAAACTTTTGATTGATTGAATGAAAAAAGGTAGAATTGCACTATTTTTATGACGGAGGGAGTATGTAAAAAAAGGAAAAAGTAGAAAGTTGATGTGGATATACTACAAAATATAATATACTATAAAAATGCAAGTGGGAGATGTAAATTTTGGTTAAACAACTTCAGTAATGGAGGAATTGAGCAGCTTAAGGGCTATGGATGATGGTGCCTTAATGTCGAAGCTTGTTCTCACCGACTTGTTGCTTTAAAGCATAGTTGAAGCCGAAATTCAAAAGCTGCGTAGCCTGAAAAATAAATGTAGGGAATACTAGAGCTAAGAGTGTAGGGACCGGACAAGCCATATCTCCTACCTTTTTCAAATACATCTAGGCCCTGTTCGGATCTATGGAGCTAAAGTTTAGCCCACTCTTTTAGTCACCTATTAGCCCTCATGATCCAAACACGAGGGTTAAACTTTAGCCCAATCCTTTTTTTATTAGCCCCTTCAAGGTGGGCTAAATAGGGCTAAAAGTGGTCCCTTCATGGCAAAAGATGCATATTACCCCCACCCACCCCTATTAGTCCTGTGCATGAGTATTAATTAGGGACAAATGGGTCATTATAGGGTATATGGCTAATCTTTAGCCCCTGGATCCAAACAGCCCCGTAGGCTAAGTTTAGCCCCATGGATCCAGGCCTTATAGGTACTGAGGATAAGGTAAATGATGAGCCAGGTGATGGGAGAAGTGATAGATGCTGCTAACATTTGTCTGGTATTTGCACGGTGGAAGAGGAGAGGATACATATTGCACTTTCAAGGAAAGTGCATCTTCTGGTCACAAATGTACGTTCACAAGTCAAGTTTTGTAACTTTGGCTAGCAATATATAAAAAAACTGAATTTTATGATACCAAATACTTCATCGGCTCTAAATTAAAAGATGTTTTTGGTATTTCTAGGTACGTATAGCTCTTGTTATGGACTTAGATATACGCTATGCCTAAATACATAGTTAAAAAGTATGTCTATAAAAACCATAATGTCTTATAATTTGAAATGGAGGGAGTAAGCATCAATAGATTATCTATAGAATACATTTTCATATAGTGTATATAAATATTAATGCTATCTTTCTGAAAGCTTAGTATTTTCATAGTACACCTATTTAGACACACAGATCACCCCTTCGCTCCCAAAAGAAAGAAAGAAAAAAAAAATCTCATTTTCGGACAAGTCAAACGGTCCTAGGTTTAACTAAATCTATAAAAAATTTACTAACATTTATGATATCAAATAAGCATCATTATATTTATTGTACGACATAGTATTTTCATAGTATATCTAATTAGAGACATAAATGATGATACTTTTTTCTATGAACTTGATCAAATTTAGAAAAGTTTAACTTATCCAAAATCTGGAATTACTTTCTTTTTGATGGAGGAGGAAGTATATATATATATATACATATATATATATATATATATATTTGGACGTATAAGAAGGATAGGACATGACAAGACGGCATGTGGCTTTTGTGTGGTCCGTTGGTGCGGCTAGCTGTTTTGGTCGCGGCAGACGCAGTGGCCAGTGAGGACTGAGGAGGGCCCATCGGCCGTGTCGTCCAATACCAGCGGCCGGAGCCGCGTCACCCACTCGTCGGTGGCCGCTGTACCATAGTACCACCAGCTTGCGATTGCGAATCACCATGGCTGTTTCTGCTGACTTTGCCGGGGACCCAACATGGTTGAGCCCACGTTATCCTACTGCTGCAGCTGAGATACGGCAGATCTGTCTGTGACCAACAGCACAACACCAACCCCTTCTTCCACGAGCAGAGCACAAAACCACGGGCACAGCTAGTGCCAGCCTTACGCAGTCCTCCTAAATATTCTTACGCATGTCGTGGTGCGCGAGAGCCTTGTATCCAAGTTTAGAAATGCAGGCGCCACGTTTTAGTCCCTGATGCCACTACCGTCGATCCTTGCGATCGTCCTCCTCCTTCCCGTGCAGCGGCCTCACCGGCGATAAAGATGAGCGAGGATCTCTCTTCGTCGTCAAGTTTAATAGTTTTTAGGGTTTTACATTATATTGGATGACACATTTTCATGGGCTGTCAGCCAGTCTCTGTCGACTGGTCGACCGCCAGACCGTGTTGATCGTAGAGATATCTGGTGCCCAATGCCACTCTAGGTATCTAATGTGACTGTCTTCGTGTTACTTCTGTTTTTGCAAGGTCAATGTGACTGGGGTAATGGAGTTCCCGTTTGCATCTGTGTTATCGGCTCACTAGATTATGATCTCGCAATGGCAAGCAAGTATGCGGGTATTCTAATCCACGCGACATCTGAGCGGGTATCTGGGCTTGCCAATCCAGCAGTGCCGATATTTGCGGTGCCAGAATGATTATCCTTGATCATGTTCGACGACGAGGCCGTCGATGTTCTTTCAACGTGTTAGATGCGTCTTAGGAGGCCGCCATGACGTTGGATCATGTGGCGTTTCCAAGTTTTGGTACCATGCATTAAGGATGATTGGATGATTATGATTTTTTTGGCTGTCGTTAGTGTTACTGAGTTTCAACGAGTTGCAATTAGACGGTCATCAACATGATTTAGAGGTGAAGATTGTTGGTAAAGGGCTATGGATATTTTCTAGCGTATTTTTCTTTGCACTCAGAGACTTGCACGTAAACAGGGATATAATTGTACTGCCTTATTATTTAATAGCGTCTCTTCCCTTTAAAAAAAATCCTATTGATCTTTATATATACCATACACATTGTACTCCTATGCACTTCCAAATATATTTTATTATATTATAGATAAACATGTCGTTTATCACTAAAATGGTATGCATATACAAGCACACATGGAAAGTCAGAGATTTCGATTCCAGTATATGTTTCAGTCTCTATATGAAGTATATATTTATTACAAGGAAGGTTCCATTTCCACCCTCATGGTAAGGACACCGACCTGGTATTCTAGAAACCCGAAGAATAAATCAGCGGCAGTTTTTTTTTTTCCCTTCTTTCTTTCTTATCGGAAAGAAGATAGTTTCAAGGTGAATCCACGAGATGAGAAGTTTATCTGGAAGAAGAATATCCCTAATCGAGAAGAAATCGGTATCAGCCGTCCAGTCCGGCCAGTCAAATTAACATTAATGTGAACACCTTCATCAACATATTTCTCCCCAAACTTCCACCAACCAACTCGCTGTCATTTTTTTTCCTTGGAGCTGATTTGATAAGCTCCCATGGTAGGAGCAACGGAAGTTAGTTTGGTCAAAAAAATGTACCCTCATCAGTGGGCAAATCGAATCAAATTAATCACCGGTTGGCAAGCGCGACATGGCTTCTTCTTAAAAAAAATCCGCTCTTGTTTTGGCTTGCATTCGAAACATGTAAATCGTGGGCAAATTTGGTACGATAAATAAAAAAGAAAAAAGGGGGCACATTTGGAAAGAAATTTTAATGACCTGGACCAGCTGGGAACCCGCTTCGAAGGGAGCCAGCGGGTCACCGGCGCCCCCGTCCGCGTCGGTCCGGTCAGCGGGCCGCCTCATCTGCATTCTTCTCGTTTGGTCCTCCGTGAACGCGTATAATTTCCTTTTGGTCTATATGTATTTATAGCTGCTACATATACGTATTTATACTTGATAAAGCTCTAGCGATCAAGCCAAAGTTTGTAACCATGGCTGCGCTCCGTTCGCTTGAACTTATTAGCTATGGTATAATATTTTTCTCTCACAACAAATTAGCTTCAGCCGGCTTATTAGCCGAACGCATGTAACTAAGTTATTTTTCAAGTAAAAGAAAACTTTTTTACTAGTTCAATGACGGTACTGTTATAGCATACAGACATAACTTAATCAGTAAGGAAATTCCAAAAGTGGTCCATGGCCACTGCCACAAATTTCCAAAACCATCAGGTACTAAACTGCAAAAGTGCAGATAAACTTGTGGCGGTCCCGTGGGCAAGCTGGCATCCGGAAAGAATATGCCGTCCCAGCCACCACCTTCCCCCATCCCGAAATCCCCAAACTACCCTTCGCTTCAGCTATAAATAGCCCCGCCGGGAGACGTTCTAAACCTTCCCCGTTTACACAAGCTTCCTGGTGCTATCTATATGCAATAGAGCCCCTGGGTCGCCCTTGCCATCTTTCTCTCAGTTAAGTCCCTTCCCCTCTCTTTTCTTACATTCAGGTCCTCGTAGCTCTTTTCTCCTTCTGCGAGTCGTCCTCCCTGAAGGAACTCTTGCAGCCAGCCCCTTGGCTTCCTCGAATTCTTGTTCCCCGCTCCTTCCTGAGTCCTGTCCCGTGTAGATCCATCCATCCGGGGAGCAGAGCACCGGCCGCCGTCCCCCATGTTTACCCACCAGTTTCTCTAACGGCCGCCGTCATCCGATGAAGCTGAGCGTGCTCCGGATCCGCCGTTCCCATTCCTTTTCCGTCGCCTTCCTGTACTGGTTCTACGTCTTCTCATGAACGCCTCGCCCTCTCCCAAGAACCTCACCTCCTGATCCCTTGTTTCTTTCTTTCTTTGGTTAGATAGATAGATCTCTCTTAGCTTCTTCTCGATTGAATCTTTTGGCTTTTGTCTCTCCCTTCCTTCCATCCCAAAAAAGTTCCCTTTTTGAGCCGAGTTGAGTCCTTCCAACAAGAAGGAAAAAGGAAGGAGAATCAATCATCTGACGAGACCATGTCGTCGTCACGCCGGAGCTCGAGCCCCGACAGCAACAACACGGACGTGAGCGGCGGCGGCGTTGGGATCGCCGCGGACGAGCGGAAGCGGAAGCGGATGCTGTCGAACAGGGAGTCGGCGCGTCGGTCGCGCGCGCGGAAGCAGCAGCGGCTGGAGGAGCTGGTGGCGGAGGTGGCCCGGCTGCAGGCGGAGAACGCGGCGACGCAGTCCCGCATCGCGGCGTTCGAGCGCGAGTTCGCCAAGGTGGACGGCGAGAACGCCGTGCTGCGCGCCCGCCACGGGGAGCTGGCGGGGCGGCTGGAGTCGCTGGGCGGCGTCCTGGAGGTGCTGCAGATGGCCGGCGCCGCCGTCGACATCCCGGAGATGGTCACCGACGACCCCATGCTCCGCCCCTGGCAGCCGTCGTTCCCCCCGATGCAGCCCATCGGGTTCTGAGCCCGCCAGAGCCTGAGCCGGCAGGGGAGCAAAGTCAAGACATGCCGTGGCGTATACGGTATCGCCATGGTCGCCCATTTGCTGATTTGTGTCGTCGTGTGTCTGCAGCCTGGCTGCTGCTTATCTATTCTCTATTTAAATCATCATCATGGTTTGCTTCTAGTGTTAATCTAGACCATTAGTAATAATCTGTTCGTCGTGTGGTCGTCAAATTGTGCTGAATGTAGTAGCAGTGTGCTCCGGTGGTGAGACATTTTCGTGGATGGATGTGCAAGTGTGCCGGAGAACATCGTTTGTGGTTGTAATATCTTGGCATGTGAAATTGAATGAACCTATATATATGTTGTATTGGTATGTGGCATCCCAAATCTGTGAGCTTTTATGTTGATTTATTTATGTATCTGTGATTGAACTGAACCCTATGTTGATGAATCCAATTGCGTGCACACATGAATTTCAAGACTAGGCCGGCGGCCGAACAGTGCTCCATGACAGGACTTCTGACGATGGTCGACGGAGGCAAGGAGCTCTGGTTGAGCGGGGCTCAATTTCACTGCAGGAACAGGAAGAGGAAGCTCGACTTACAGCGAGGCGAGGGCTTGAATGCCGGTGAATGCAATGCGATGGAGCTCCCTCGGAACAGAGGGAACGAACACTTGTTACTCGGATTTATTACTACCAGAGAAGTAATCGACAAGTTTTAATTTGCAACCAGAGAAGTGATCTACAAGTTTTAATTTGCAACCAGAGAAGTGATCTACAAGTTTTGTTAGTAGAAGTTGTAATTTGCAACAAGAGAAGGAATATATAGAAGTTTTGTTAGCAACAAGGGATCTACCGTCGAAGAAGCAAGCACATGGGCAGTCAAATATTTATTCGCATTCACACGCTCAATCACTTGCACGAACAGATGCAAATACACTGTATCAGCGTTTCGGAACAGGAGGTCTTTAACCGACTAGTAAATTTATACTGCGTGCTCCTAATTCCGGATGGTGATACAAAGAGACACAGGGTTTATACTGGTTCGGGCTCCTAATTCCGGATGGTGATACAAAGAGACACAGGGTTTATCTTTGGTTTGGGCAATGGATGCCCTACGCCCGATCTCGAGAAGATGCTCTTGTATTTCTTGCACCAGGGGTGCTCGTAGTAGGGGTTACAAGCTAGGCGAGAGGAATTCGTCCCGAGTGTCTCTATGAGGGAGGAGATATGAATTACGAATGAGGCGTGTTGTTCGATGCGAGTATTCGTGACTCTATCCGCCGTCCCTAAAGCGGTCTGGCCGCCTCTTTTTTATAGCGCGAGGGAGAAACCAGAGTACGTAAAGAGAGCTACGTGGGCGGACTATTCGATGGCGTATTTACTCGGAGGCGACAGATGGCGTTGTCGTGGGAGTTCCGTAGATGTCTAATCGGTATGGTCTCCATTTGCAAGTAACATCTTTGCGCATTTGTTGGCTTAAGTGGATTGCGAAGCTCGGTGGCCATCATAGCCGGACGTCTGCCGAGGAGCTGTTGTCTGCGAGGCTCGCCGTCGCCGAGGCACGAAGTGACCAGTGCGGACGCGGGTCTCGGCCGCCATCGGCGGAACAGGCGAGGCGTCGCGCCTCTGAGGATCTGGTACTGTGTTGTCGGTGGGGATGGTAAAAAAAGTGATCGACCGTTGTCCGTCGCTCTGTTGCGGCGCCAAGACCGCCGATCGTGGCTTACGTAGCGGATGCTGGTGAGCGATTAATCGGATGGATCTGACGCTGCGCGGAGAGACCTTTGAGGCGGAGGCGACAAGGTTATGGGACGAGCCCGGCCTCGGGCGAAGGCGGGCGTGGCCAATTCGTCGTCGAGGCCCTACCGGGAGGTCTCGGGTAGCGGAATGGCGAGGCGGAGTAAGATCGGTGAATCCGAGGCCCTGTCGAGAGGGCTCGGGCGAGACTTGAGCGGTCGGTCCCGTGATTCGAGGCTCGAGAACCCGTTCTAACTCCCCACGTTGCGATGTCCTTGGAGTGCGGAGTTAGGCGGCCATGGTGGTCGGTAACCCCTGCTCGTGCCATCGCAGATGGCGAGGAGGTTGACGCGATGGCGTGTAGTCGGTCACCGTTTGTACTATGCGTGCGTCGGTGCGTCTGCAGGTGGGGGGGTTGGTGGCTTGGACGCGCCGTTCGGTCGAGCAGTTCGGTCGAAGAGGCGGTCACGGGGCTGGTCGCGAGCCGGCCTCGCGCGAATCGGAGAATCGGCACTTCTTCCGAGGCCCCGGCGAGGGGGGCTCGACGAACGGGCCTCGACGAGGGGGCCTTGGCGAGGCGGTCTCAGGCGAGTCGGAGAATCGTTTGCTTCCCCTGGGGCTCGGCGACGGGGTCTCGGGCGAATCGGAGATTTCGGTCGAGACCTCGTTCGTTTATTCCGTTGGTTCTGTTTTTTTAGGGTCTAAGCAGTTTTTCGATCTTTGCTTGGGGTACCCCATTTTACGGTATCAAGCAAGTAGCCCCCGAGCCTCGGGCGGGAGTGTAGGATACTCTTCCCGAGGTTTTGTCGAGACTTTTGTTTCTCAGTGGCTCTTGTCGGGTTTGTTTTATACTTGCGATTCCGGTGGGTGTGTGGCCTTCTGGCGGAGTGTCTTCCGAGGCCCTAGAGGAGTGAGCTTACTCCTTTAGGGGCTTTTTTCTTCGTTGAGTGAGGTGCTCTATCGCATTTGCTAGACCCATGAGAGCGAGCTTCGGGTCGCTTGTTTTCGTTTGGGGTGCAGGGGGCCCCCGAGCCTGCCGAGCCTCGCGTGCGATCCCTTGCGAATGAGAGAGGCGATCAGGGAGTTCCCTAGCTTTTTGATCGACCCTCGCGCATCCTTTTTTTCGCTCGGAAGGAGGGGTTGTTTGCCGAGCCCTTGGCGTGCGAGCCTAGGCCATTGGGTCTCGGCAAGGCTGCAGGAGAGCCCCCGACCTCCTTGCGTAGCGAGAGGCGATCGGGAGTTCCCCGGCTTTTTATACGACCCTCGTGCTTCCTTTTCGCTCGGAAGGAGGGTGGAACATGCCGAGCTACCCTCGGTGGTGTTGCTGGTGGCGTTTCGGTGAGCTTTTATCGGGTAAGTCCAGTGGAGGCCCGTGCCCCATTCGATAGGGGTCGGCTAGTGGTCGAGACGCGCTCAAAAAAGTACCGAAGGCTTCTCTAGCGGGTGCAGGGCGTTCGATTGACCCTAGGGGCTCGGTGCCTCCCTACGGTGGGATCCCTTTAGAGAACTCCTGCTTTGGTCTCGGACACGACTTAGGGCATCCCAAGCAATCGCTTGCCTGGGCCTCGGCCATGTACGGGCTCGCCCATAGTTGTCCCTGACTCTGTCGTCCTGGGGCGGCTGTCGAGGCCCTGGATGGCCCAGCCTTCGTACCCCTGGACCGTAATGGGCTAGGTGCCCTTTTTCATCGCATTTTTCCGACCCTCGGGGTGTAAGGATGCGTTGTTTGCCGAGCCCTTTGCGTGCGAGCCTAGGCCGCTGGGTCTCGGCAAGGTTGCAGGAAGAGCCCCCGAGCCTCCGCGCGGAGCGAGAGGGCGATCAGGAGTTCCCCTGGCTTTTTGTACGACCCTCACGCTTCCTTTTCGCTCGGAAGGAGGGGTTGTTTGCCGAGCCTTTCGCGTGCGAGCCTAGGCCGCTGGGTCTCAGCAAGGTTGCAGGAAGAGCCCCCGAGCCTCCACACGTAGCGAGAGGGCGATTAGGAGTTCCCCTGGCTTTTTGTACGACCCTCGCGCATCCTTTTCGCTCGGAAGGAGGGGTTGTTTGCCGAGCCCTTCACGTGTGAGCCTAGGCCGCTGGGTCTCGGCAAGGTTGCAGGAAGATCCCCGAGCCTCCGCACGTAGCGAGAGGGCGATCAGGAGTTCCCCTGGCTTTTCGTACGATCCTCGCGCATCCTTTTCGCTTGGAAGGAGGGGTTGTTTGCCGAGCCCTTCGCGTGCGAGCCTAGGCCGCTGGGTCTCGGCAAGGTTGCAGGAAGAGCCCCCGAGCCTCCGCGCGGAGTGAGAGGGCGATCAGGAGTTCCCCTGGCTTTTTGTATGACCCTCGCGCTTCCTTTTCGCTCGGAAGGAGGGGTGGAACACGCTAGTCTACCCTTGGTGGGCGCGAGCGGTGACGTTTCCGGTGAGCTTTTATCGGGTAAGTCCGAGTGGAGGCCCGTGCCCCATTCGATAGGGGTCAGCTAGTGGTCCAGAGACGTGCTCCAAAAAAGTACCAGAAGGCTTCTCTAGCGGGTGCCAGGGCCGTTCGATTGGCCCTAGGGGCTCGGTGCCTCCCTACGGTGGGATCCCCTTTAGAGAACTCCTGCTAGTCTTGGAGACGACTTAGGGCATCCCAAGCAATCGCTTGCCTGGGCCTCGGCCATGTACGGGCTCTCGCCATAGTTGTCCCCCGACTCTGTCCCGAGGGGCGGTGTCGAGACCATAAATGGCCTGACCTTGAACCTCTGGACCGTAGCGGGCTCGGTGCCCGGTTCCTTAGCTCGGAAGGAATCGGCTGGGGGGTATTTCCCTTCCATCGGTGACAACGACCGGCGCGTCTTTTGAGGTGGTCTTTTCGGGAGCTGTCGTTGCTGCGCGACGTGGTGTCAGTGGATGGGACATAACCGTCTACGCGATTAAATGTGGAGAAGGTGGGCGCGTGGGCGGAGAGATCGGATCTGGATTATATGCGCCGGATCTGAGGGAAACTTCCCGATTTAAATCGCCCAGCGGTTTAAATCTTACCCCTGCAAAAATACGTAAAGAGCCTCACCCCTCCCCTCCTTACCTTGCCTGCATTTGCTTTTGCCGTCTCCAAGCCGTTGCTGAGAGCATGAAGCACCGGGGAGAAGAAGGGCGAGAGAGATCAATTGAAAGAGGGAGAGAGAGATTTACCGCCATAGCAGCGTCCTCCACCGCGCAATGGTGGCGGTCTGTCATCCTCCCGGCGGATCCCTAGGAGTGGTGCAGCGTCACCGTGGAGAAAGCTGCGATCGTTGGTGGACGCCGGTCTCCTCCGCCCGA